TATGTATGTATGCATGTATGTACCAAGAGCTTCTTAAAAACCACAAATTCCTTGTGTGTTTGCGCACACTTGGCGAATAAAGCTGATTCTGATTTAAAATTTGAACACATTATAGTGTACACAATGATGGTGCCACTCAGCATTTGTCTGCTGCACCCAACTACAATGTATTTGTTACACTTTAAAGTGAAATTTTGCCAGTTTATTGATTAAATTAAATTTGATTAAATTGATTAAATTAAATTGTTTTGGACTGAATGCAAAGTGTCCGGTGTGTTATACCCATGAGTTGTCCTACTGTGCTTCTAATCCGGTGTGCGACCACCTTAACTTTACTGCATTATATCCAGGAAGTAGTCCTTGTACGGATGTTGTTTTGAATAAAAATGGCCTTCCTAAATGTAACCAAATTCCAGTGGGACAATCCATTTGGATCCCAAAACTCACTTGTATGACATGATCTTCACTGCTGATCTCCACGGCTTCCTGACACTGTTCTAATGCGGTAAACACAGAGTTACAAGCCCTGCAACAACAGAAACACAAACAAATATTGAAGCCTCCAGTGACCGTCTCACAGCAGCGTCTTCGTTGAACTTCCTGCTAGCTTAGGCTTTAGACTTACCTCAGTTTGAACTGAGCACGAACCTCTCCGTGTTCTATCTGGATTAACTCATTATAGCAGGTTGACACACTGCTGTTCTCCAGGTACCTCTGAGAGAGAGAGAGAGAGAGACATATAATACAGCACTGCATTTATCACACAGTACGCATGTTGTCCTAGTTTGTATTGCAAGCTAAAGTTGAGTCCAGATTTTCCTGCAGGGAATTCAGTAAACAAAATGATCTGCTATGGATATTTATATTAAAAATAATTTGGGAGGTCTATGGGACACGGCATAAATATTAAAATATAAAACGTTACTTGTGGGACTACCATGAATCAATAAATAACTTGCCTGAGCAAAAAAATATCCAACATATCCCGTCACGACTATTAAAGCTGACAGCGTGTGTGTGTGTGTGTGTGTGTGTGTGTGTGTGTGCATTACTTTTAAGTTTTGGTTTTCTAAATGATTTTCTGTGGTAATCAACCCACCAATAAATCTTAATCTGAATTGGACACGCCCACACTCATGTTCAGCCCCGCCCATGTAGTGGAGCAAATATTCCTGTTTTAGTGTAAAATACTCACTCTGGACAAACCAGCAGAGAGAAGAGGAAGGACAGATGGTTCCTCCTGATCTGAGGGACTGCGAGAGAGAAAGATCAGTAGGAGAAACATGAAGGACGTCTGTAACACATGGATAATAGATAAAAGTGTTCTCTGAGGCCTTACGTTTGTGGCATCACTGCTAAAACAACAGTGTGTTCAGAAGGCTTGGTCGCTCGAATCATCCTGTTTAAAAACACATACAATAACAAAAAAGTAGGTTATTAAAAGTAGTTTATATTTTCTGTTTTCATCATGGCAGTGAAATCAAGTATCTTCTACACATTTCTCTCCAAATGACTCTCTCTTCCTCACACGCATAGACATCTACTGGGAAATAAGTGATTTGGCAGCAACTAGATTTGGCAGAGTTGCCAGCTTTGAGTATGTGTGCGCGCACATGGATTTAAGCCTCTGTGCAGGATGGGAAATTAACACCCACAACCAGCCAAATGTGGGCCACTTCCTCCACAGTGGAGAGTAATTTTGCCTTATTTACCTCTCAGTGACTGTGGTGGCCAACCTGGACTTAAAGATTCACATACAAATGATTCTTATGAACTGATTCTTTTTATTTTTTTTCTTCTTTTCTTTTTAGTTTCTTTTTAGATTCTTTTCCACCAGTGTTGCACGATTCCTGAAATGAATGAACGACAAGTTACTGGTTTGAATCAGTCTGAAACACTGCCCTTTATAATTTACATATATCATGTGCATTCTTTCATAAACTACCATTCAAAAGTTTGGGGTTGGTAAGATGTTTTTTTGAAAAAGTCAACAATACTGCATTTATTTGATCAAAAATACAGTAAAACACTAATATTGTGAAATTTTATTAAAGTTTAAAATAACTGCTTTCTATTTTAATGTTTTAAAATGTAATTTATTCCCGTGATGCAAATATGAATGTTCAGCATCATTACGCCAGTCTTCAGTGTCACATGATCTTTCAGAAATAATTCTACTATGCCGATTTCCTTCTGAAGTAACATTTCTTCTTCTTATTATTAATGTTGAAAACAGTTGGGCCACTTAATATTTTTTTAAAACCATTTTTTAGGATTATTTGATGAATAGACAGTTCAAAAGAATCCTTTTGTATAATTATACATCTATTTACCGTCACTTTTGATCAATTTAATGCATGCTTGCTGAATTAAAGTATTAATTTCTAAAGTAATTTCTAAATTATTATTATTTGAGTCCAAACTTTTGAATGGTAGTGTAAGAAAAATGTACATTATAACTGAACCATACCCAAATGAATCAAAATCAAATCCAATTTAATCAGAATCAAAATAAGACCTTGTGATTCAGAATCAAATTGAATTTAATCTGGAAATCTGTACATCCAGTCTTAGTAAAAACATTTGAGCATTTTACTAATTTCATATAAATGGCGAATTATTGTATATAACTGAAAAGGAAAAAAGTTAAAGGTGTCAGATGATGTTGCTAAAAATAACATTATTTTGTGTATTTGGTGTAATGAAATGTGTTTATGCGGTTTAAGGTTCAAACACATTATTTTCCACATACTGTACATTATTGTTTCTCCTCTATGCCCCGCCTTTCTGAAACTCGTCGATTTTTACAAAGCTCATCGGTCTGAAAAGCTAGGTGTGCTCTGATTGGCCAGCTATCCAGTGCGTTGTGATTGGCTGAATACCTCAAGTGTGCTCAAAACTCACGTTTGAATCATCAGTGGCAAATTCTTTAAATATGAAAACGTACTTATAGACTGTGAGTCAGAATAGCCATCATTGTAGGTTCAGTAAATAGTCCTCTATAAAATGCGCTGCACACATCTGAATATTTGGGTTGAACTGTTCTGCAACAGTGTTGTAAATACAACTTAATCACTGATTTCTAGTCGTGTCCTCTTTTGGAAGGCCAAAGTATTTTCGCTTTCACAACGAAACACACAGCGTCTTTACAACATGGCAGCGGTGGCGGCTGCAACACTAAAGTTATGCCTTCTTTCTTTGCGTATACATTTGGGCGGTGTTAGGTAAATCTTCCCACATCGTGACGTAGACATGTGGGGGCGTGTTTAAACGAGGCGTTTTAGGAGGGTGTGGACCAGTCTTAACTTTTATAAAGAATATCTCTTTGGGTTTGAGACTTTAGGGATCTTATCTATTCACGAACAGCTTGTAACACTCCAAAGAGAAAGGAAAACTTGAAATCGCATCATATGACCCCTTTAATTCCCCATCCTGCCTAAACAGAAACAAGTGAGCGACAGATGATGGATTTGGTTTGCTTGTACCCACCGGCAGACGGCATCAGCCTCAAAGTACTGTGAGTGCCGGCCATCAATGATGACGATCTCGTGGTGTTTATCTAAGAAACACTCCACCGCAGACTCAGGTGTTCGTGCGATGTTACACCTGAATCCCGCCCGCTCACACGCCCACCAGAACGCATCGCTCTGACTGTCCGCTTTAGCGAAGACCAGTAACACCTGAGCGAGACAGAGACGGAGAGAGAGAGAGGTGCTGTTGGTGGATGCGTGTGAAAGGTCAACAGTCTTTCATCCTCTTCAGCGTTGTGTAACCATGGAGCTGCGATGTGAAATTCCACATGGCCCAGGTCGTTCAGGATGCCCACCGTGCAGTGTCACACGTCCACCTACAGGGGGGCAGAGTGACTTCACCCACTCACAAACTAACACATTTCTATTGACTGACAGAACAGGCCTTTTCCACAAGTATTAGAAATGTGAAAAACTGCAGATATATAGCAGGGTCACCAAATCCAACAATAACAGGTTACCAAAATCTGTTACCCTCCTCTATTTCACACAATGATTTTAATGGTACCCAAATTCAGTCTGGTTATGTGTATCCTCCTCTATTTTATATCTTTGAAAACATATTGCTCTGATTTGGACAGACAGAGATACAGCAGGGTCAGCAAATCTAAGTAACTGATTTCTGTAATCTGCAAGGCTGTGTTGTCGGATTTGGTGACTGGTGTATATTTGTAGATGTTTACGTGCTTCCTATATTATAAAACAAAGAAGATCAGACATCATAAAAGTGAATCTGGGTAACATTAAAGCAATTCTGTGTAAAAGAGAGGGAGGGGTAACAGATTTCGGTAACCTGTAACAGTGTGTTGTCCACTTTGGTGACCCTGCCGTATAAGTGTTCACATCAAATCAAAATGCTTTCTACAGTATGAAATACAGAAGTTTAGACATCAACAGATTGAATTTGGGTAACATTAAAGACATTCTGTGTGAAACAGAGGGGGTAACAGATTTCGGTAACATGTCATATTACCGTCAGATTTGGTGACCCTGCTGTATATGTTCACACCAGAGCAATATGGGATATAAAATAGAGGAGATTAGACATGACCAGAATAAATTTGGCTAATATTAAAGCCATTGTGTGTGAAACAGAGGGGGGTAACTTATTTTGGTAACCTGTAATGGCATGTTGTCAGATTTGGTGACCCTGAAGTATATGTGCAAATGTTCACATCAAATCAAAATGCTTTCTAAGATATAAAATAGAAGAAAGAGAGGAGAGTATACATCAGCAAAGCAGATCTGGATAACATTAAAGCAATTCTGTGTAAAACAGAGGGAGGGGTAACAGATTTCGGTAACCTGTAACAGTGTGTTGTCAGATTTGGTGACCTTGCTCTATATGAACAGCTGTTCAAATCAAATAAAACTGCTTTCTAGAGTATGAAACAGGATCATCTTATATATCTTTATTTATTTCCAGAGTATGAAACAGAGGACATTAGACATCACCAAAGTGAATTTGGATAACATTAAAGCAATTCTGTCTAAAATACAAGGTTGTTACAGATTTTGGTAACATGTAATGGTGTGTTGTTGGATTTGGTGACCCTGCTGTATATGTGTAAGTGTTCACATCCAATCAAAATGCTTTCTAGAGTATGAAATAGAGAAGTTTAAACATCACCAGAGTGAATTTGGGTAACATTAAAGTAATTCTGTGCAAAATAGAGGGGGTAACAGATTTTGGTAACCTGTTACACTGCCTCAGAATTAGTGACCCTGCTGTATATGTGCAATTGTTCACAACAGTGCAATATGCTTTCTAGAGAATAAAATAAAGAAGTTTAACCATCATCAGAGTGAATATGGGTAACATTAAAATCATTCTGTGCGAAATAGAGAGGGGCAATGGATTTCGGTAACCTGTCACACTGCCTTGTCAGATTTGGTGACTCTGCTGTATGTTTGCAGCTGTTCACATCAGAGCAATATGCTTTCTAGCAGATAATATAGAGCAGACAGAGGAAATTAGACATCAGCAAAGTAAATTTAAGAAACATTAATGCAATTCTGTGTAAAATAGAGAGGTGTAACAGATTTTGGTAACCTGTAAAAGTGTGTTGTCAGATTTGGTGACCCTAATGTATAATTGCAACTGTTCATTTCAAATTAAAATGCTTTCTAGCGTATTAAACAGAGGACATTAGACATCATCAGAGTAGCATTTGGGTAGCATTAAAACTATTGTGTGTGAAATAGAAGGAGGTAAATGATTTTGGGTACCTCGTATATTGCCCGATTATCACTAAATAAAACTAAAAAACATTTTCTGTAAAATATAAAAAATATAAATACAGAAACTTAAAAATTCAGCTGCCAAGGCAACCTTTCTAATTTCTGTGTAGTAAAACTAAAATAACAAAAACTAAACAAACTAAAACTAATAAATACAAATTAAGAAACAACGTATAGACATTAAAACACTAAAAAACGGATGTAAATAACTATAATCAATGACACTGTATCAATGATACTAAAATAACCCTGGAACTCGGACCCTAGAAATGACAGGTGATTCATTTGTAAAATCAATCTTGATTGATTTCCTCAGTTACATCAGCCAAATCTGACTCAGAGATGAGTCAAAAATTACATAAATGGCCTCAATTTACAGTGGCTGACAAACGGCAGTCAGTCATTTGGTTAACATTATGCACACTTTTCTGTTTCACAATTCCACTTTTAGTGAACCATAATTCCCACTAATACCACACACACACACACACACACACACACACACACACACACTCAGGATAATCGTGTCAATCCTTTGAGACATCTCAAGATTATCCCTGGGGTCATGAGTCCATGTTAAGAGGTCTTTGGGTGCCCTCACTCATTTGCCATACTGTAGAAACAGGACAATGCAGCAGTGACAGTAATGCATTATGATGTCACAATAATATTCTATCACTGCACACAGCACAGCCTATGCGAGATCAAAACATCACTAAAAAGAGTCCTGCAGTGGTGCACTGTGATGTCACAGTGACATTCCACAATGCATTAATGCAGGGACTATGAGAGGTCATAATGCATCACTACATGGTTTCATAATCACCTGTAATTATGCTTTAAATCCCCTAAACTCAAGAGATTGTGCTTTAAAATAATCCAAACCTCGCTGCAAAACTATGCGATCCTGAAATAATGAAATAAATTGCTAGAAACTGGGTATTTTATAGTGGTTGACAAAGTTGTTGGTGTTTTTAATGGATGGTACAGACATTTAGAAAGCAACTTCAAAATTAATTTTTTGGGTGAATTAACCATTTAATGCTAACAAATTGCTAAATAACTTTTTTTTCATTTAAAGCAACATATAGCACACTAATTGCTCTAATCATTCACTTAAAGCAGTCTGAGGTTTACTGCCTTGCACAATGATAACATGGACACAATCTCAGTAATTAGGCAATTAAACATGCACCTTTTGATCATTAACCAGATCAAAGTTAACCAGACAAACACTTAAAAAAGTCAATAAATACACTACCATTCAAAAGTTTGGATTTTTCAAAAAGAAATTAATATTTTTATTCAGCAAGTACACATTAAACTGATCAAAAGTGACAGTAAAGACATTTATAATAGTAATTGAAATAAAATATTTCTATTTTAAATACACGTATCATAGTTTCCACCTAAAAATTAAGCAGAACTGTTTTCAACACTGATAATAAAAATAATTTTTTGTAAACAGCAAATCAGCATATTAGAATGATTTCTGAAAGATCATGCGATACTGCAGACTGGAATAAATTCAGCTTTGCATCACCAGAATAAATTAAATTTTTACGATATATTCAAATAGAAAACAGTAATTTTAACTTGTAATAATGTTTCACTATTTTTACTGTATTTTTGATCAAATAATGCAGCCTTGGTGAGCATAAGATACTTCTTTAAAAAACATAAAAAATGTTACAAACTCCAAACTTTTGAAGCTACAAATTCAAACATACAAAAAAATGACTAAACAGGACTCTACCTGAATGGGCTCCTGGGTCAGTCGCATTGGCCCCAAACGCTCTTCTGCTGCAGACACCTGGTAGAGATCGAGAGAAACAGGTGTGTTTCATTTAAATGAGGTTAAAAAAGGAAACAAAAGCAAGAATGCATCTGGTCTTACCATCTCAGAGCCCTGGAGCAACATTCTGACATGCCTGTCCTGTTTTTAATCACATATTGACATGTGCTTGAATGTCCATGAATACAACCAAACTAGACAAGACAAAATCGGTTCACCGAAAAAAATAATGTTTCACAGGTTGAATTAATGATGGTAGATGTAGCCATCCTGATCAGCACGAACTCCAATCCAACTGTGTTATTCAGCTGATTTGAACACGATTATCCATATTCCTACTGTCAAACAGTTCTAACGCTTTGTCAGATATGAAATATGTTGCAAAAAAAGTCTGTTTTTTATGGCGTTGTCCAAATGGTTTGGCGACATTGTTGCAATGACCGAGAGCAGGTGGCTCAAAGCTTCCTGCGTCATCCACTTTAACACTACACATAAGCCTCTCAGCATGAATCACAAAAGCCCTTGGGCTAAATACGGATCATAATCACTATAAAAGCAGCATATGTAAGGCACATTTAATTTTGCAAAGTAAAAAGAGATGAGTAAAGACATTTAGATGCACTGCACTGTTTTTTTTTGTCAGTAAAAAGATATAAACATTAAATCAACATTTTCTCTTATGTAAATGGCACAGCATGAATTTGCTTTGGTCATCTGCCTGTTTTATGTTCATTTTAAGTGTTGAGAGGCCATCTAGAGTCAAGAGCTTCTATTCCTGTGACCACACACACACACACACACACACACACACACACACACAGAGATCTGTTTAATTGAACAGTCCAACAGTCATAACACAATCACAATCTTTACAGCTGCATAGGCGCAATTACAGTTTCAACAAATGCAATTAACTATAACTCTACAATTGTCACATGTGGTAAAACACACTGAATCTCTCTCTGCATGTCCTTTAGTTGAGCAGCAATCCAGAATTCCTTCACAGACCCCGACAAATACATTATTATAATTTTTTTTAAATTAACAAAAACTTGCTTGTTTTATTTTACACACTAGTTGCTTGAAATTGATTGAGACTAATGTGAAATTACTGTGAAAAGAACCTAAAACAAAAAGGTATTGTGGCATTACCAGGGCCGCATTAAGACCTCAATGGGCCCCGGGGCTATGACTTACTGCAGGGCCCCCCGTCACAATAATGATATAGCTTAACATAGGATTTTTATCCAATCAAAGTTTCATAATTCTTGTTACCAATTCCAATATCTCAAAAAAAAAATACTAGCACTAGTATTGCTAGTATGCTAGTATAGTATTTACTATACTAGTAAAAACAAACTTAATGAAGACAAGTAAACAGTCATGAATTACAATAGAACAAAGAAATTGACCTACACACACTTAAAGCACCGAATAAGAAATATATTGTATAAAATAAATAGACTAGAAATAGACAGTGTCTGAGAATGCACGTCTGAGAATGCAAGTGCGAGGCTGCAGCCAGACCCTTCTCATTTTGACACATAACTATGTGTATTCGAACGTTTAAACACAAGGCGCGAAAAATAACTCTTAGTTTAGTCAGGCGCTGTACGAGCAAGTACCAGAAACCGTCTTAACGCGCACATTTGCCCAAATGAATTCTGCCCCACTGCTTAATGTCCCTGAACAGTTAAATTCGTTTTTAAACCACAATGCTTAAAATGCGTTTAAATGAAAAGCTTACATCATGACGCGCAAAATAAATTTCTCAACGCATAAGCGAATATAGCCTACTAGCTCTATAGAGTTTGTTCAAACACAAAAAGCACTATAGCTACATCTATCAAGTTAATAATCAAACTAACCTAAAATCTGTGGGGATGATGACGCTGTGTTTTTATCTGCTCCATGTGTCCGGTCCATTTGCGGTTCCACAACTCCCACTTCATCATCAGCATTACATCAGAATGAAGTGAAGAGAGGTGAATGCAGACATTAGGCGCAGTGATCACCTGCTAGATGTGCTACGTGCACAGTTTGTTCAAAAGTAAAATATATAATAAATGCATTTGATTGGTAAAACAAAATCAAATGTGACGTTTTAATCTCTAATGGTAATGCATGGAATTTAAGGAAAACTCCACTAAATAATAGCGCTAAAAAGTGAGGGGCGTGGTGGGTTTTTTAAGATCGGCGCTACCGATGTCCATCAATCTACTCCACAGCCAATCACGGGCCCCCTCCTTGCTCGGGCCCCGGGGCTTCAGCCCCGCCTAGCCCAATGGTTAATGCGGCCCTGGGCATTACCAGAGTAAAATTATAGTATGCCTATAGTAATTATAGTAGGCCTATCGTTTAATATTATGGTATTTTGATATACAGCATGAATGACTACTATAATTATGTCATGGTATTTACATAATACTCTGAGATACTTAAAAGAATGCCATGGTGCTACCATTAACAAAAATATGTATTTTCATGATCCCCCCAAAAAAACCTCAAAACAAAAACTAAACAAAAAAAAAAAACATTGCATTAAATTACAATGGTAATGTCCCCAAAACAATGGTATAATTTCCATGGCACCATGTCCAAACAGCCATGAGATTGCCATGGTACAGTGTTTAAAAAAAACGAGCAATCTAAAGGGGTTGTTTAATACATTTGTTATTAACTTGTTATCACATTAAGGTCCACTTAAAATATTATTTTGTAAAATAATGTAATATAATTATAATATAGTACACTTTTTTACATTATGTAAGTTACACTACAGAAAATTTGATTTTTCATACTAGGACTCGTTTAAAAGTGACAATTAGAAGAGACAGTCGGCATCAATGCTGCTTTTTATTTTCCAGCTAAAGGCCATTACCAAAACCACTGTTACACAAGACAACACAAGACACACAAAAAAAAGTCCACTGGAAAATCCTGTTTTCAAATACACTTAATTCAAATTCTGAAATTGAAAACTGCATTCTCTGCAACTCTGTAACTGATGATTTTCAACTCTCATAAATCATGCTCAGAAAGTTCAGCTTATATTCAAACACTTCTGTTACATTTTCATACATTTTCCCAAACAAATCTTTTCTGCATTCTTTGCTCTCTTCTTCTCTAACTCACGACCCCATGCTTGAGGTTTCTCACTTCCTGGCACTGACGTTACATCTCATTTCCTAGAAAGCAACACACACACACACGTGTTGGTATACGTGGTTTACGGGCATTCTCCATAGGCGTAATGGTTTTTATACTGAATAAACTATATTTTCTATTACAGGAAGTGTCCTCGTAAACCATGTTCACGTCATCATACCTATATGTTATTATACAGATTTGTGTCCTCATGAACCATATAAACCTGTACACACACACAACAGCTAAAGCTTGAGTTTTAAGTCCACAAAATTCCTAAATCTACCATGCAGAATTTACTGTGACTCTTCACATATAATCTAACAGCTGCCGTCAGATTAAATATTATAGGTGATCTGCAGACGTTTTTCTGCCCGTTTTATTATCTACCAGGCAAAAAATCTGATCATTTAAAGCAGTTTGATCAAGTAATATCACACATTTACTATGGAGGTCATGTTCGTAGCAAAACCGTGAAGGAAAAATAAAATGTCTGAAGTCTAAAAACACTCCTTTTAGGTCATCCTGTCCCAAACTCACATCACTGGTTGAACCAGACGTTGACCACAGTCAAAAAAACTGCAGAGCCACACTGTTTGCACTTTTTGGATATTAACCTACCAATGGTTTACTTTTAGTTGTCTCTACACATTAAACTAAGGTCGAATATATACATATATGATACACTTCACCTTTAGGAAATGACGAATGCAGCAAAATAATGTGATGGTCAGTTGTGATACAGAGATCATACAGCTTTTGATGGCTGTGTCAATAAACAAACCAAGCATCTTACTACTTCAAATGTCGCTTAATTATCTTTAAACGACTCCGCACGCTTCATTTCAGTCCCTCTTCAAAGAGAGACGGTGGATTTAAGCTCTTCTGACGCTGCATCATGCTGCAGATCTCTTCAGGAAAAAAGACCTGTGCTGTTTCAAACACACACACACACACACACACACACACACACACACACACACACACATTCAAATGTGTCTTGCTGTGGCATGACACACAAACTTACAAACAGTCGCATTACAAAGACTTTGTTAATAACACTTAATTATTACAACATTATTATTACCATCAATGTTGAAAACAGTTGTGCTGCTTAACATTTTTGTGGAAACTGTGATACATTTTTTCTCAGGATTCTTGGATGAATACAAAGTTATTCAATCAGAACTTATTCAAAATATTTTTTGTAACATTATAAATGCCTTTACTTTTTTTAATGAATGCACCAGTAACATTTTATTTAAAGCCTTTATGAAAAATGCATTATAAAGGGTTATTAAAGGGTATAATGCATCATAATGTGCATTGTAATACATTATCTCTTGTTGTAAATAATTATAACCAAATTGAAAATGCATAGTGCAACAATGAATTGATAAGTGTTATAATGTATTAACTATGGTTATAATTATTCTTGAGATTGTACAATGCATTATAAAGTGCATTGCAAGGCATAGCCTAATTAATGCATTAAAACTACTTTTATAATGCATTAAACATAAAGGCTTTAAGGGCTTTAAAGTGTTACCATCGCACCCTTGCTGAATAAAAGTATTAATTTCTTTAAAAATAAAAAAAATGTAAACATTTAGTGTAGGGTATAAAATAAATTTGAAATAATAACAATAATAATAATACTATTTTACTTTACACAAAACTTACAAAATATATCTGAAAACAATTTACAATATTTGACCATATTTTTTGTATAACTGTCATAAAATAGCATTTAAAAATGCAATCCAATCAAACAGGTCCTTCACAAGATTTACATTTGAAAAGAGTAATGCTTGTCTGAGAATATGGAGGACAGATGCCTTACGGATATGAAATTACATCGCTGCATTTAT